TGGCAGATTGGTACCAAAGGGTCTGCAGGCGATTAGCTGAAAGACGTTGAGTCGGAAGAGATATGTAATAGCACGGGAAAAACGAACGTGGGCATCGAGACTTGGCAGTGGTGGTTTCAATTAACTGCAGAGAATGAGCATTCAGTTGTTGCTGTTTAGTACAATAAAGAGCGTTCTGTGTGAAATGGGGCAAGGAGGTCACCGCCAAGGGAAGAAGCTTCGTTTGCACGACGTAGGATGAGAATTGTTGCTGTTAGTGGCGTCATCTGAAACTAAGCGCAGTTCATCTAGCCTCATTTTGACAACTTCGAAACGATGCATTAAGTTCATATGTTGGTGGTGCCTGAGAGGGAAAAAAATAAAATTTTATTCGCCAACAGGTCTAAGTTGACAGTTGTTGGTGCGATAAAGTAATGCCAATGACGAGCGAAATATTTGTCTAGCTAATAAAGCGATGCATAGGCTCATCAGAGCCCTGCACAAGATGAAGTATTTGGAACTACATTCAGCTTCAGAGACTTCTGAATGACACAAAAAGCAAGAATGCGTATACGCGCAACAAAATTTCACCGTTATTGCGGAGATATGCCTTTTTACATGGTAATAATGCAGCTGCGTGTGCTGCGACTGTCCGACATTATAGTCCTACGAGATATTGTCAGTGATATTAGTGTTTTCCTCACTTCCATTATTGACATCATTTGTAGGATTCTTCTATTATCTATTGAACATACAGTGTAATACTGACTTCTCTTCCCATGCCATCGATTAGGGGTGTCTGATTTAAAAGCAACGGCTACATTTATATAGCAAAGATGGCATCTAGCCAGTTGTTTACCATCTCAAAAAGTAATGCCGCTTTACTGACCTCAAAACGATGAACAACGAGTGACCTGACCATATCATCAGAGCACGATTTTTGACCTTGAGAAAGACGTTCTACCGAGCATGCAACCGTTTTCTATATTACAAGACTTTATCGCAAATATGAGCCACAGGAAAGACCCAATTGACGCCATATTAATTTAATTAGACACTGGCAGATACTAGGTTTGTGCTGCGCCTGGCAAAGATGACATGAAGTAGTAAATCGGTAATCTGCAGGTTATCAATCCAATTTATAAACAATGACGTCATTTGGCCATATTTTTAGTAATATAATTTAGTATACATAAGAATGTGAATTGTTCGCAATTTATGACCATAAATTGAACTTTTAGCTTGTTGATTCGCGTTCGAGACCAATTCTAATAGATCAATAAGCCGGTGTTCAATTTTTTATACGTTTATTGCAGCTGAACTTGAACCACAAATTAAAATGGGCATCTGGTGTTTTTCACGCAATATGGATCTGCGTTCACAGCGACAGTAAGACGGAGTTTTACTCTGTTTCTACTTGGTTGATGAAGAGAGAGATGTTAAACAGCAAACATTGTAGATAGTGAACTGAGGCAACTGTTTATTGTTGGGATGTGAGTCATAATTTGGAACCAAATAGCATACTTTTAGTAGGCGATCTAACGGTCACTGCAGACTTGCCATGTTTAGCAAAATGCAAAGAAAATTCACTTTTTCCAGTGCTCTGTTTTTGATCCATGGATTAATACAGAAAAGATGCCGTAAACCTAATTCACGATACGTATCGTTACAATACAACGCGCATCATTATCAGGTAAATAGTAAATAAAACAATACAGTACGAAGTATTGCGGGGCAGTACCGGTGCAGTACTCGTGTGTACGCGAGAAACACTGCTATTAGATGAACAGTTCTTGCTTACACTCAGTCTTCAAAAAGTTATCATGCACTTTTCGTCCTTCCTCATTTGATAAATTGGAAACTTTCTAATAACTAGTCGTTTCCAGTGTTTATTGTGCCGAGTTTCGGTTAAAGTTCTTTTTGATTTGTAGCAGTGTTAAGTCTGAGCTTAGAGAAAGTCATTGAAAAAGAGTGTGGGAGACAGAAGGAATAAAAGACAGGCTTCTTCTGCAGTTTATGGTGCTAGGCAGCCTCAGTTTGTGACTGGCTCAGTAAC